ACTTACCATAATTCAAAAATAAAATCCCTAAATTTCATAATTTTAAATTAGGTTAATAAAATCCCTAAATTTCATAATTTTAAATTAGGTTTTCTATAATTTGGGAAAACATCATTCACGGAGAATCATAAATTCCTAATCTGACTCTGATACCAAGATTAACTTGAAGATTCAAATATTCTAAGAAACTATTTTATTTCATAAGAACCTTAGGATCTATGATTCTTACTAATTTATTATTATAAGTGTTCAAGAACTTACCTGGATCCATTGAAAAATATCTCTTTATGGATATTTTTCCTTCTCTTTCTTCCTTTTATGACTTTCTTGATGATATAGAATATGTTCACTATCACTCTCTTCATCAAAGTCACTTACCTTATATTGTTCAAGAACGTAACTTTTAATCTTCCATAGAAAAAATCTAGTTGGTATTTTAAAAGATTTATTAAAATACCATAATACACTTAATAAAATAAGAAGTGATGAAATTAATTTTAATAACTCTAAAATAATTCTCATGTTTTAATACATTTATAATATAATAATTATCACATTAGAAATTTTTACATTAAAGTTATTTTATAAATTATATGAGTTAATATTAAATTAAAATAATTTAACATATCCTCCCATATATGTTTTTGTATGCGGTTAATGAGATCATGCAATTCTTGTTAAAGACATCACATTATTTCCTATAATGATAAAGTGAGACTATTAAAATTCTCTAAATGAATAAACAAGTGAACATAGATGCAAGATTTACTATTGATTCAAATTAAATACCTATAATTTATATTTTAATTAATTTTAAATCAAGATGCATGCTCAAATTCTCACTCCCTCACTTACACATGTAAACAATACACAAGTGTAAGTAGTGAATAAAAACAAAATATGCCTTCGTACCTGTTATGGAAAGTCAGTGTCCTCTAGTTAGGAATTTATCGAATTTGGACATCATTTTTATTTTGCATTGACAATAAGGAAGAGTCAGATGTATATATAAAAAATATAAAGAAAAAAAGGGTAAAATATAAGGCTGAAATTAGGGGTGTTAATATGGGTTCTAACCCGTGAGTCAACCCGGCTCACCACGGGTTTGAGCCGGGTTGGGTTCGATTTTTTTATTTCTACGGCTAAAAATGAACCCGGCTCACATAATCCACGGGTTAAACGGGTTCGAGCCGGGTTATGCTGGATTGGCCCGTAACCTACCATTAATTTTAAATTTTAAAAATAATTATAATAATATACTAATCATAATTAATCATTTATTTTTAATTTTAAAAATAATTATAATACTTTAGTAACCCTAATTGATGTTATCCTGTCTTACGTCTACCCTACATTATTGGTTGTCGTCACAAGTCAAACCCTCACTTAAACTTGTTATCAGTTATTCGTTGCACCACTATGTTTGTCACTGCACTTGAGTCACTTGTCTTATTATCTCATCCATCGTACACTACATCATGTCCACTGTATTGCTTGCAAAGGTAAGAATTTGTTTCATAACCTAAACTATTGGATTGATGAATCTTTATTTGAAAATTGTAGCATTTATACATTATTTGTTATTTGTTATTGATTTATACGTATTTCTCTTTAATATATGATTTTTTGACTTCTTTGTTTTAAATTAATTTACGAGTATGAAATCGAAACAATACATCAAAGTGTCAATGTAAATTGTATTGGTGATGATTTTATTATTAATGAAAAACCTAATGAGTCAATTTCGAGTTAATAACGAAGATATCGATGTTGAGAAAAAAGGAAGAAAGTATAAGTTTCTACATCCGAAATTTTTATATAATTAAAAAAATTAAAAAAATATGGGTTAGTGAGCCAACCCATCTATCCCACCAACCCACCTATCCCACCAACTCGTGGTGGGTTGAACCAAGTTGTAAAATTTCTAACTCGCCAAAAGTGAGACGGATTGAATTCACCTATTTTCAGCTCAATCCGTCATGAGGCAACTCGTGTCACTTTGACACCCCTGGCTGTAATGTAACCCAGAATGCATTGACTGTTCTATTAGAATAGAATTTAGAAACCTACTTCCCACATGTCACAATAATGCACCATGTAACTGCATCTATGATCATTACATATGTTCAAATTCGCAATTTCACTTTAACGTGGTAGTGCCATGGGTTTTGATCCATCCGCAAATACCCCTTCTTCACTTTCTGGCAAAAAGTATTCAATTGTATGATTAGTGGAGTAAATGAAGTAGAAACAGCTAACAAGAAGGTCCTAAAATGTACTATCACTCTTTTGTATTTATTTATAGGATGAAAACTAAACTTTCGAAGGTCTGGAGAAATTGGCGGGTTTTTTTCTCCCACATGCTTTAGAGTTTTGATATAAAAGTAAATAAAATATGATAAAGTATTATTTTACAATTAAATTTTTAAATTATATTTTTTATTTTTTTTTAATTTTAAGATGTATTTGTCTTTTTATATTATATTATGTTTTTTTTTCTCTTTTTTATTAATTTTTTAAAATGTAAATCATATTAATTATTATTTTATATATTTGTTTTAAAATCACACTTCCGCCTAAATACATTTTTTATTATGTTTTTTTAATAAATTAAAATTGAATGTATATATTAAGTTTATTTAAAATATAAATAATATTATTTGTCTTTATTCTTTATTTATTGTTATAATAAAAATGTAAATCAATGAATCTTATACTAGAGGATATATGTTATATCAATATTATTTTGGATGTAGTTTATTCCTTTTATTCGTATTTTTATCTCTAATTGACTTCTAACTGTTGTGAAAAATAGCTCTAATATTCTTTTATTCTTAAGTTTAGGAACCTCATATCGTGAGTAAGCATAAGTTATCCTAAATCTGTAAGTGTTAATCTATATAGAGCACAAAGGTAAAAATTTTGCAATTCTATACCTCTCATTTTTTTTTTCTTTTACATAATAATAAATATACCATTTGCATTACATTTTTCATCTCTTGCATGATTTACATTTTTGTCATGTCATAAGAGAAGAATGAATTTATTGAGATATCAGCTCATACTTTTTTCTCCTCGTACATTTTGTACATTTTATCTGAATCATTATCTTAGTCTCTTTTTTATAATAAATCATATAATTATTTGTTTAATACTGATGAAAGATGGAAGTCAATATGGGATGGACAAAAAAATCTAATTCAACAATGATTGAGATTACTTTATATTATTTGAACCTGTATTAATTTCCATCATCAACAGTGCAATAATATTCAATACAACAATACAATTCTATAATTTCTGATTAGTTTTATTTGTATTTTGTTTCTTTTCTTGACATATTTGTTTTTCGGCTAATTCATGTTAATAAAAATAAACCAAAAAAAATATAGCACGTTGAATTGTTTCTCTTAAAAATCATCAATTTTATGATGTTTAATGATAATTATCAAAAAAATATGAAAAAAAAAATAATGTTATGGGATGTCTACACTTTTTTTGTCTAATGTCGTAATAAAAGATAACAAATTAAAATTTTCTTTTGAAACATTCATGCTTAAAACACCCTAGTCTTTCATCTGTTCCAGAAAGAAGATTGATATGCCGTGGTGAAATATCTTAGTGAAGCAATTTCACTTTGCTTATCTCATGTGTTTGAGGCAAATAAAATTATTGATAAAATTAATCAAAGTCTGCTAGTCTCAATATGATATATGAAAAAATATTTTTTATCAAACATCTATCCAATAATTATTTTTATTTTTTTATATTATTTATTTATTTTCAATTTTTTATCAATCAATAAAAAAATATTATTTTAAAGTTATTTATTGAATATTTAACAAATATAAGTTGGCAAAAAATATTTTTTCAAACTATTATACCACTTTATCTAGTATAATATAATCATAATAAAATAAAAATCTTAAATTATTATTACAACAATAATATCAAAATAAATCGTTGCATGAATATTTAATTAAAAGAAATTATCAAAATAATATTTTCCTATAATTAATAATTGAATTTTACTATTGCAGCATGGACAGTTCATGTTGGTGTTTGCATTCTTATTTTAATTTAATTATGTTTTTAAATTTAAAATTTAAAATATTTTTTAATTTGTTAAACTAAATTAATTATTTTAGTTTGTCAAATTTAATCAAATATATTTTACTTTTAGATATTAAATTAGAATAATTAAAAATAGTTTTAAAAAATTCATTTCAATTCGTTAAATTTATTATTTAAAATAAAAATTATATATTTTTTTTATAAATTTGGGAAACTTATACCAAAATCATAATCATCCTAAATTTTAACGAATAAACAATATAATAAAGTTTTTTTTTATTCTAGATAATATAACATGAAAGTCTTAGAATCGAGATTCTTTACAGTATTTGTTAATGAATTTTAACAGGTCAATTTATTCTAAATAATATCTTTTGCTATTATCGTTTCTAAAGTTTTTTTTTTAACTAACAATGTTTAACTTTTAATTCATTGATACATAAATAATCAAATTTGATTTAGTTATCTCAACTTCAATGAAAAATGACTTAGTTATTCTCAGCAAGGATAATTATACATATATATACTTGCAAAGTTCAATTGATTCAAACTTAATTTAGCAGAATTATGAATAATTTACAAGGTTAAAGAATCATGATGCATAAGTTGAGATTTCATTTCATTTCATTTCTTATTCACGTTCTTTTCACTTTCTTTTGATTTTATTTCTCTTATTTCAGTCAATTTGTCCGCACCCACCACCATATAAACTGGTGTTATTTGTTAACCAAACCACTGATTCACACTTCTTTTTTCCATTATTAGATATTTGTGGGGTGGCCTACTATGAGTTGCCACTTTTATTCAACTTGCTTTCATCATACAAGGACAAAAAGTTGAGTAGTCGATACCAACTTCATCACATTCATATTAAATTTCGGGGGTTTGCATTCCCCCATGCACTACTGTTTCACACGATTATAGTCATGGCACTTGCACTCAAGCTGAAGGGAAATTTCAGCATCTTTATTATTCTTTCAGTTTCATTGTTTTGCTTATACTCAGGTTATGATTATACCATATCTGTGGCTTCAACCATTTTTCTTGCTAAACCATACGGATCCTGATACATATATGCATGTGAAAAAATGAACAGAGACTGCTGAAGATGATCTGCAAGGACAAAGCGTGGTAAAGGCCTTATCATGCTTCGACAATAAGCTTGTGAGTAACAAATATTTAATGGATTTGTTGGAACTTAGCATTCCATTATTTGCCTCTTGAATGAAAGATGGTTGATTATGTGTTGCACTTTCAACACAACCTCAATCTCTGTTGGGTCATGTTTTTGGCCATCAACCTTGCATCATCCTCTCTACATGTTCTTTTACCTGTTTTGGCTGTTTCTGAATCTTTTCCAGATTTATGTTGGGTGTGAGGAGGCATATAGACTAAACCCATCTGGGAATATTAATATACCACTGGAGGCCACGGATTTTTTCTGTAGTGGACCATGCCTAACTGAAGCACAGCTGGTGCTTAATTGCATTGATAATATACTGTCCAATTTCATGTTCTACAACAAAGCCACTGTACAACAAATGAGATATGCACTAAATGCTGGCTGCAGCTACTCAAGACAAAGAGGTCAGGATACTAATTAATTATTTTCCATTTTTAGTCACTTAAATATCACCTTCAACCTTCGTTTCTATTTTCATCTTCAATATTGTTGCTTTAACAAAATGTAAGCTACGTGTAGGTAACTTTAATTTGGCAGAGTACATTGGAGGAGAGACAAATAATGCTCCCAAATTATCAACCCTGACTATATCCTATCTTTTCATCCTAACAGCAGCAGCAGCAGTTTATTTAATGTGCAATTAGGCACTAGCAGTGAGAAACAGATACTCAATGGACTTCTTAAAAGTTTTAAACGAAATGGCTGTTGTCTCAATTTAATCTGTATTGTACTGTATAATCTGAAGTAAGGTTCCATTTCAAATGATATATTTACGGACAGTACAGTTCTTTATAGCTAATCAAAGTGTTTGCTTGGATGGGCGCCCACAAAAGAAATTTTGAATAATATTGATTTAATAAATTTCATTTTATTGAAAATTAATTTTGCAATGATGTAATTTATTCTTGAAATGTTTCATCGTGAAAGCAAGTTTTTAGTAAAGATTGATAAAAATAAACTACTTACAATAAACTTATATTTAATTTTAGACTAAGACAATTCTTTGTTATATAACTAATAACGCTTAAAAATTTAAAAATATATTAATCACCACTTCAAAATTGACACAGGTGTAATCACTCAGAAAAAATCAAAGTATTTTAAATATTACCCTTTTTGAATAAAAATAATAACATTAAAAAGGCTTCGGATTCATTTGAAACTACACGAAATTTTCCTTCTTATCAAAATTTGTTAATCTCACAGACCCGATGAATGATCAATCAAGTTAGCTTTTGACCCGATCAAGACATCTAGCTTAGATTTTGACATATCCAGATTCCTTTTAGATTCAAATCCAGGAAGAAAGGTAAAATATGCTCTGCAATTGGACTAGGTGTGGGTATCCTCTAATCTTACAATATTAGGAGTTTGTGTAACTTTTCATCCCTGCATTAATTTTATAAATGGTAAGGAATTTGTTTAGTTTGTGTCCGGCTAAGACATCTCTTGCAACTATCCAGCTGCACTTTGCCCTGGAACTTTCTTGACACCGTCTCCTCGCATCAACAGCCTAACTTTCTCAACTTCATCCCACCTCCCTTCTTCAGCATAAATGTTGGACAACAACACATAATTTCCCGAGTTCCACGGTTCAAGATCAACCAGCTCTTTAGCAGCAGTTTCTGCAATTTCCCTGTCACCATAAGTTCGACAAGCACTAAGCAAGGCACCCCACAAAGCAGCAGTTGGCTTCAATGGCATGCTTGTAATCAAGTCAAGAGCACCCCTCACGTGCCCAGAACGCCCAAACAGGTCAACAATACAGCCATAATGCTCCAGTTTAGGCGAAACCCCAAACATCACACTCATAGAAGCAAATATGTCACGCCCTCTATCCACCAAACCCCCATGAGCACAACAAGCCAAAACCCCAACAAAAGTGGAATCATTAGGTTCCACGCCTCCACGCACCATCTCCTCAAACAAGCCAACCCCAACTTCACCCTCCCCGTTATAAGCCAAACCCGATATCATCGTGTTCCAAGAAACAACGTTTTTCTTAGCCATCTCATTGAAAATGCCCCACGCGGCTTGCAACTTCCCACATTTACAATAGAAATCCACTAGCGAATTCCCCACGTTAATAGCCTCTCGGACGAACCCTTTGGAATTCGCATAAGAATGGATCCATTCACCAACATCCACAGCCCCCAAGCGAGCACAAACAGGTAGCACAGTGACCAAGGAAGCATCGTCGGGTTCAAAACCCTGCTCTAACATCCCATTAAAAAGCTCAAGAACCTTCCCCTCTTTGTTACGCTGCGCTAAACACGACATCATGAGATTCCATGAAACCACGGTCCGCTCCTTCATTTGTGTAAAAAGCTTCAGCCCCGTTTTTAAATCCCCCGTGTTGCAAAACCCACGAATCATCAAGTTCCAAACGACGACGTCTGGGTCACGCATTTCGTCGAACACCTTGCTTGCATCGCCCATTCTCCCGCAAGTCGCGTAGAGATCAACCGTGGCGACGCGGACGGAGGCGTGGCGTGTCAAGCCAAGGCGGAGGACGTGCGCGTGGACGGACTGGCCAAGAGCGTAATGGCGGAGGTTGGAGGCGGACTTGAGGAGGGGCGCGAAGGAGTGGTGATCGGGGTAGATGGAGCGTGACTTCATGAGGCAGAAAAAGGAGAATGAAAGGTGGAAGGGAGGGTGTAAAGAATGGGCTTTGATGATGGCGTTGAATAGGAGAATGTTGGGGTTGGGAATGTGAGCGAAGAGGCGCGTGGCGTAAGGAGTTGCGCAGAGGGAGACAAAGTGGGCGAGGATTTGGTTGGACTGGTGAAGGCCATGGCGGAGGAAGTGGGCGTGAATTTGGGTGAGTTGGGTGGGGGTTTTGGCGCCGTGAAGGAGACTTAGAATTTTGCGCTCAATCTCTCTGCCTCTGCTCATTGACTCAACTTTTCTCTTCACCACACCGTTTCATTAGTACTTACGAGTTTGAACAACCTCCTTTTTTTAACCCTCTCCCTAACTTCAACTGATTAAAACAAACCACCCGTTTATCACACTTGTCACATTCTTAAATTCCCATTTAACAAACTCTTCATTTTCTTCATAGGCTAGTTCTTTCTTTACTACTTTAAGGTTTAAACTTTTTTACTTTCACATGAAGGGTGTTTGGTCTAGTGGTATGATTCTCGCTTCGGGTGCGAGAGGTCGTGAGTTCGATTCTCACAACACCCCATTTTTAGTACACCTATATGATGCTCTTACCATCACCATGAAATAGGTAATGGGATATAAATACGTTGAAGGTATTATGATCATATTCTTTGGATGTGAAAATATCCATTACTTCTGAGTTCTCTTACTCTTTTTTTCTTAATCTTTTTTCCCTTCTCTATATTCATTCCCCCACAATTTACAACGGAGTACTAATTAAAGAAAACATATCAAACCAAATAACCATACTTCATGCTTTGAAATTTTTTATTTGATTGAATTTTCTTGAACGTAAAATGATTGTTGGACAGCAATCTCTATTTAATAAGAAAAGAGGAAATAGAAATTTCTAGATAAGTAATATGATGTCATTGAAAAAATATGCTAACAGAGTATATGATATATAAACATGTTTACATATTATCACTTTTTCAAGTAACTTTTATGATGGAAATTTGAATCTTAAATATCAACTCGATATTGATAAGTAAAAAAAAATATAGATAAAAAGGAAAACAAAATTATGAGAATGAAAAAAAAATATGAAAATACTAACAGATAACACAAAATAATTAGCCCCTAACATATATTTAGACAGAGAAAAGGAAAAAAATATAGATTTGATCAATGATATAATATTAAGAAAATACTAAATATAATATAATATATAAAGAATATTTACACTGTAACACAAATGGCCTTAACATAACTCAGATAAATACTACTGGCTTTACAATTACCGTTTTGTATAAGGCAGTGAAGATACTCTTAAAGCAGCCAATGTATGAGCAGTTAAATATCCTATACTATTGTTGCATGTTCAGGTTTGAGGAGGCTGGGTAGGGAAATGTGTAACAGTCCAAGTAACATAGTTGAAATGATTTGACCTGTAACAGTCAACAATGTAAAGCAGCAACGAATTTGCCAATAAAGAAATAGTTTTCTAAAATAAATTGTGGGCATCCGATACAAGCTCCGATTATTGACATTAATTTGGATGACTGGTCTGCACAGGTTTGAATTTCGCGTCTGTTGATGCAGTCAATCAGTCTAGTAGAGTCAGATGAATTGACCCTCAGTTCAGCTCCTTATTTTTTCACTCCTTGCTTGATCCAAATCATGATGCAAGATTCGTTGCATTAAAAAACTCTGCTTGAGGAGATATGGCTCCTAGTTCCTGAGTTCCAAGGTCTTACCACCCTCAGTTTATTGATGCACATCACACCCATCTTTTTCACCAACCATGCGCCCAACATTATTGGCATCTGATACAAAATATTCTCTTATTTTAAACCTACTCGAGTGGGTAGAAGAACTAAATTCCTCCCCTTGGGAAATTATTCTGGTCTGTTCTTACTTGTCTGGTTACGTATTATTTCATTGAACAATTCTTGTTTCAAGCAGCGTAAAATGCTATATTTTTTAATGGAGACTATCTTCCGCAGTTATGAAAGAACTGACGGGGTGCAGTTGTGAGGACGACTAATCCAAATTTAAATAAATTATATTTAAAACATTTCCTTTGGCAACATGTCGGTATTTTAGGACCAGTATCCTCTACAGTATGATCGTGATCTACAAGGGAAGAGGCAAATATTATGGCATAAAGGTGGGGAAAAAAATTCGGGGGGCCAAATATCGCTAGTACAAGTTAGCTGCTTACTCTAGCAGAATCCCCGCACAGGTAGCTAGCATGTGATTGAACGGAAGAGTGGACAATATGAACAGTTTCTTCTGGAACCACCAACGAGATATGATTATTATCTTCCTTTACCACCGTTGATTATTTGATTCATGTTAAAAGGGAAATTTGGAAGCCACCAAAAAAATCTCCGCAGCAGTTCGGAGAGGGAGATATGATTAATTGATAATGGCACACATATATTTTGACTTGGCTAAACAAATTTAGATGGCGCTCAGCTTATTAAAGGACTTGGGGCCCCCCAGGTGGATTCATGTCTCATGGATTATTTATTGGCTACTTTTTGAAAATTTTCCACCAAATCCAGTGGCAACATATAAAACCCATTGATTACTCTCTCAATTGTAGGAGTGGGACAGGGAGTAAGAAAACTCAAGGTGAACCGAACAAGCGGATGGTAGAAAGGACTAATCGAAAAAGAGACTTATATAGAAGCAACCAAAAAGAAAATGAAACATCTGTTGGGGTGGGGGGTTTACATGGGTTCCATTCCTACTTTATATTATTCTACTAACTTATAAACAGGTCAATGTCAAATAATCTCAATCTCCTTTATGTCCACATCTTGTCGCATATAGATTTGCAAACATCTTTTTCCCGAACTCAAAGCTCAAATAATCACACCACGGCATAATTATAAAGCTGCATCTAAAAAGACCATTTGGACCCCAAACAAAAGGCAAACACAACCACCTCATGTAATTTGCAGACGCAACCAAAAACTCTGGGACGCGGGTATGCAAACAAAAACACAGGCATCATTCAATTTTAGTGTGGTGTTGTGTGGAGGTCGCCCAAGTGTGTTCGCACAGTTACTATGGGGCCTGAACCAACTAATAGGGCTCCCCACACCACGTGGTTTCTGTAACCAATACAAATCCATAGTGTACGAGAGATAACAAGCATTAAGCAACGCAGTTGGCATCACCACAATAATAGGCGTGGGCGGGTGTAGGCATAATTTAAGGATAATAAAATAAAGATTAGGAAAAGGTAAGTGTGGCATAATATATTAATAAACTCCAGTCACTGCACAGCAACTGTGTAAATAGTAAAATGCTGCGAGTACGAGTGCGAATACATGGCTTAGTAGTATATTGTACATGATAGTTTTAGATGCGTCGTCATCAACACTAACCCTCTCCTCGTGGTATTTTACTCTCCTCTCACCAACCCCTTTCTAGGATAGGGATGTAGGACACATGGGATGGGGCTATCTTAATAAGCTAAGACTAAGCTAATCCATTCCAAAATGAAAAAACAAATAATGATGATAATAGTCGTAATTAATAGTGACCTGTACAATGTTAGGTAAACCAACCCAAAGGAAAGAGAAAATTGAATTTACCTGGAGGAAACAGGGTTTAGGGCTCTAGCGAAGCCATTCATGGCACCATAACCCTTCGAACTAAAGCCCAAGCACCCAAGCAGACCCTGCCTGTAGGGCAGAAAGGTCTTTTTCCTCAACTCCTCTGATTGGGCCCGGTTCGCTTTATAATGCAACTCGTGCGGCGAAGGTGGCACGCGCCTTTTCCCTACACCGTTGGTAGGCTTCCCGCTCATTCTTCGGGCCCAAGCCTGAGAACTACTTCCTTTCGACTTCTGCGGGGCTTCCGAAGAAGAAGGCCCGTTTTTTATGTTTGTTGGGGCATTCTGAGTTTGAGTAGTGGAAGTGGCGGGTTTCTTGTCTTTGGTTGGGGAGAAAGAAATGGTGGACCAGAACTTGTTGTTACTCCTTCCTTCGCTTTTGCTTCGGAGAAAGTCCTTTAAGAATACCCAACGCTTCGAGCTTCTACCAGCTGAAGAGGAGCGAGAGGACGAAGCCGAACCTGAGACCGAGGGAGTTGTCTCCAAACCTACACCCAGACTATCCTCCGCTTTCTCCCTTCTGTTCTCCACTTCGGACGAACTAACATCGATTTGCTTCCCCGAGCTCACGCTAACGCTGTGATCTCCGTAAATAACAGGATCCTCCTCGTTCTCTGCCCACTCCAAAGGGGTGTTGCTTCGGAGAGGGGACATGGATCTGGTTCTCCTCCTAACAGACTTGTCCCGCAGCCTCAGATCTCTGCCTCGGACCACGCTGACACTAACTGCTTCGGATTCTTCCTCTTCTTCTTCTTCTCCTTCCAGATCCAACAACGGAGCGAGAACTTGGGGACGTTCAAGGTGAGTCGAGAGCTTCATGGGGCGGATCTGACCGTTCAGGAACAACTCGTCTGCAGAGCTCATGGAACCTGAGCCCGCTGAACCGACTGAGCTAAACCGGGCGGAAAATTCGAACTCGTAACCCATTGGAGCGGAAGAGGAAGTGTTGTCGTAGGAGGATGCTGCGGTTATGGCGAAGTGCATAGGACTGGCGGGGGCGCTGTAAAAGAATCCGGGGAGCCCACGACCGAGACTGGAAGGGGCACTGACATAAGGCGTAGAGCAGGTGCTGTCAAATTCTTCAAAGAGTGGTTCGTCATTGCTGGAGTTGGAAGGTTCAGGATTGGCATTGTGGGCATCTTTGGTGGTGGGTGATTGAAGCTGGTCCATTATTATTGTTCTTTGAGGAAGAAGAGAGAATGAATGGTGATGTGTTTCTGTGTGACTCTCCAATACCTTACCTGAAGCTATGAACACACTAAACAACACCAACAAGCAATAAATAGATAAACATTTTAGTCTTTGTATTTTATTCATTGTAACATGATTGCACAAATTTGCCCTTACTCTCTCATTTTATATCCTTACCTGCCATTCATTATTCTTTTCTACTTCAACTATGAGATGTCACTTTGTTACAAAAAATTATTTTTAAAATTTACCAGTTTAGGAAACATAATTGTATATCCCAAATAAAGAGGTAAAAAGAAATATATTTAAATCATAACTACCAAAATTATATAAAAGTTATACATGAAAATTAAACTCTTAATAAACAGTATAATGTATTCAATCTTCCCTTATAATATATTAAGTTGTTGATTTGCTGTTAAATAAAAGATATATGCATCATAAATAACATTTTGCAAATTATATATCACTTAAAAGAATATAATTATTTTATAAAAAAATAGTAACATGTTACTTATTATTAAGTAAAAATTATTACATTTTCTAAAAATATAATTATTCGTTTTTTAAGTTTCACTTATTATTTCATACTTATTAGCAAATTTTAGACAATAAATTTAAAATATGTAAAAAAGATAATATTTTTCCTATATATTAATAAAAGTTTTTGTTTTAAAACTTTCAACTCTATACAGAAAAGCATTAATATCAAAGTGCTTGTGGAAAACAGTTTCTCCTACTTTAATCACACCTTTTTTTAATTTATCATTATTATAAAAAAATTAAAACAATAGAGAAAATAAATAAGGTTTATTTATTAAGAAAATATTTATAAACTGGTGAAAAAAAAATCTTTCTAAAAGAGAAAATATGATAAAAGTTATCTTTTAAAGAGAAAGGATACAATAAAAAATTTCTTTTGATATAAAGAATATTATGAAGACTCACCTCAATTAACTAATATTATACTACATGGCTAAATATAATTTTTATTTTATTAAATTGATTTTATAGTAAAATTTTATATTAATTTAATTTTATATTATTAAATTAGGTATTTCGTTTTGTATCAAAAAAAAATTATGGACACTGGAACTGTTAAAAAAAATGAATATGATGAAAAGTTTTTAATAAGAAACATGATATTTCACATTGTTTTTTATATATAATAATATTATAATATACAAATAAATATATTTTTTATCTTAATTAATTAAATTTATTAAAGTGAAATAGTAAATCATATTTTTGAATAAATAAATAAATATTATAAGAAAAATATGAAAATAACAAATAATTAATAGTTTTATTTTATAACTTTTGTAAAGCACCCACTTGTACAAAATTGCCAACTATCTCCACAATCTAAGATGAGACTTTCCAATGTATTTTGTCTTCACTTACACACTTTCTAAAAACTTTCCAGAATGTGACTTCTCCAAGTCAAGCACGCTTAACTACGAGACTACGAAGTTCTTGTATGCAGTCTCCGGATCCCTTTGTTTCGGGTGTATTTCGGTTCATTCATACGATTCTTCTGTTTTTGGTGTGTTTCAGTTCATTCATATGACCCTTCCACTTGAAGCTTATCAGAGTCGCTCCTTATCTATGTCTCACTGCACCAGCGATCACTCCTCACCCTCGCCAGTCGTCGGTATGTCACAACTTTAATTAACAATTTGGAAAAAAAAAATTAAAAATATATATTTGTGTATCTCAAGTGAGACTTTTCAATAATTTTTATTGAAAATAAAATATGTTTTGGGTAGTCTTGTTTTTTTAGTTTAGATAATCCGAATTAACTTATTAAAATAAAATAATTTAAAATTTTTATAATTAAATTAAATTTAGCATAATTATATTAATTAAATTATTTAATTAATATTAATTGAATATATCTTATTTAAATATTAAAAATATATTTTATTTAAAAAATCATTTTACTATTTTAAAATATATATTTTGAAAATAAAAGTTTTAATAAAACAAATTAAAATATAGCGTAATAAACCTGATTAAGTTTTAAAAGATCATAAAAAATCATGAATTAGAAGATGAAATTAGTTAAACTTTTTAAACTTCATCCACATAAATTTTTTAAAAATTATTTATTTAACTTCACATTAAACCATGAAATCGTAACGTACAAAACGAGAAAAAAATAATATATTTTAGATGTGAAAAAAAAACATATTAAATCATCTTTCCTTTTTCATTTTAAAAAAGTTACTTAAAAAATAATATTAGAAAAAATTGTTACTATTTTTTTTCTAATGACAGCAACACAACTTTAAAGTTTCCATATAAACAATATTATTTTATATTTAAAGATTTTTTTTAAGGGAAAGTAGCGTGATTGAAGAAGTCACCAGTGCTAAGAAAGCAAGTTTTCTTATATGTATTTATACAGTTTTGACGAGGGAGCAACTTATCAGGGAGAGATATCATTTGATTGGTTGCCCATAAAATTATCCCCTTGTAGAAAAAAACAAAGGTTGACTTATATATTTGATACAATTTGAATTTAAAAGTGATTTCATAAACTAATGATAAAAATATTATTTAATATGTATTTTTAATCACAAATTATGTTTCTTAATCAAATATATCAAAATTTCATATTTAACTATACTTTTATAATTATACATACTTTTAGTAATTATATATTAATGTTTTCAATTAGGGATGACAATTAAACTCGTATCCGTGGGGACCAATCCGTCCTCATTCCGAGTTTGACGGAGAAAACCCGAGTTGATCGGAGACGAGTTCGGGTTTTCCCCGCTTTAAAAAGTCTAGGGCGGGGGCAGGGATGGATAATGTAATCTCCACCCCACCCCGTCCCCGCCCGACTTTATATTTAAATTTAAATTTTAAAATATTAATATTTTTAAAATATTTTCTTTTCTTTTCTATTACATATAAGGTCATTTTTTTATATTTCACTCATTTTTATTTTTCTTCTACTCATTTTTTAATTTTTTTGTCTTTTTTAATTTTTTTATATCAATTAATTTATTACATTATTCTCTCTTTTACCTTTCAGTTTTTCACATTTCCTTAATCTCTCCCATCAATTTGTTTTTTTTTCAATCTTTTCAATTAATTTGATGAACACAAAGTTAATTTTTTTTATTATTTATCTTGTTCTAAATATTTTACATAAATCTTAGTAATAACTAATATTATTTTATTTATAATTTATACTTATTAGGTTTTATTATGTCATTTTTTAATTTTATTATTCTTATTTATCATATATCAAATTGTATCTTAATAAAATAATTGTTTTTAAACGATTAAAGAAATTGATAATTTAAACTTTTATTACTTTGAACTAATTGAATAATAATTAACTTATTAAATATTTCCTTATAAACTATATATTTCATATTTTTAAATGACAACTTAAAAATAAATTAACTTTTATATATAATCAAATATTTGAATACAGTATTATAATAATAATATTATAAATATTCAAATATTTGAATACGATGTTATAATAATAATAATAATAATGTTATAAATAAAAAATAAATAAATATTTCTTTTGGGGGCAGAGAACCTGAAACTCAGCGGGACGAAAATGGGGACTTAATTTCTAACCCCAACAAAAATCAAGGACGGGGACGGAAATGATTAAAAATGTTGAAGCGGGGATCGAAAAGGCAAAAGCCGTCCTGCCCCGTTGTCATACTTATCACTTTACTCTTCATTTTATCTAATAATTTTTCTTTATTGGTAAAGTATTTATTGTTCTATGATTTTTTTTTTGTGTGTAGGGTTGATATAATACCAATAAACTTTGAAACTCGTACACAAAAAGAGTTCAGTATTAGGTTTACTTATATTTTCCAATATCTTATGATAAATAGTCATAACAATTATAGTTGCTCTGAGATTATTTGAGTTTCTTGCAAAAGCTTTCAGATCAACCCATGTTCCGAAAACAAGTTTATCCACTCACTTTTGACTTTTGAGCCTACTCATATTAAATATGAAAAAAAAAATCAGTGTTTGTGAATTAAGAATTTTTTAAAATAATTAATTGCAGAACAAACTCATCAACCATGCTTAAAGAAATTAAAAGAAGATGAGATAAAGTTTACAACTTTTTTTTTCACTTTATTGTGCATAATCTTTTTATAAATTACTTTATTTAAGTAAATAGGGATTGAGGCATTTTACTAGTGCAGGATGTGGGTGGTAGATATTTATTGCTATTTATGAGTTTTTATAGATATTTGTTATCATTGAAAAGATTTAAAAAAAACATTTAAAGACTTCAACTTTGGTTATTCATTTAGGATCTATTTCATTCAATTTTGAATATAGAAAATAGAGATCAATTGTTACTCTTAAAATTATTATACTTCTTTTTGCCTCTATCATGATACTATTAGTCTAAACCCTAAATCACCACATTCGATACAAATAAAATATTTTTACTAAAAAATAAAAATATACAGTAATTAACTTTTAAAAAATAAAAATATACAGTAATTAACTTTTAAGTTACAAAACATACTTACTGTGGAAAAACTTAAATAGTAAACAAACATAGTTTAAAAAGACTTATAAAATTTATAATCCTGAAAACATGAATTACGGGAAATTGATTTCGTTGGAAACGATAAATCTAAACGACAACAAAGGTCATATGAGAACACTTGCTACATGTTAAAACTAAAAGTTTTTCAGTAAAACATCTATCATCAATATATGTTTATAATATTTTTTTTAATAACTTCTTCTATTTATTTATTATCATTCTTAATATAAAAAAAAATCTCTCATAAAGTATACTAAGATCAATTATTTTCTTTCAAATATTAATATAATTACACAATCCAAACTCAAAATTATTATTTAAACTAAAATGATTTTATATATCAATTAGTCTACAATGGTTAAAAAATTATTAAACTTAAGTAACATTTATTCCTTATGCTGATTTTCAAACCTACTTTAAAGAA